CAGCGCGACCTCCTCGCCGCGCTCGACGCGGACGTCGGCGCGCGCGGCGACGCGGGCTGGGCCGCGCTCGTCGGCCCCCGGCGCGGGGCCGTGGTACACAACATCGCACAGACGTCCCCGCCCCGCAGGTCGCCTACGGGGCCGCGGCGCTCCGGCGCCGCGCGGGCGACGCCGCGGGCGCCGCCGCGGCGCTCCGGCGCGTCGTCGCCGCGCGGCGGCGGCCCGCGCGGGGCCGCCTGGGCCCGCGCGCCGAGGGCCCGCCGCTCGTCGCCGCGGCGGCGACGGACGACGGCCACCCGGGCCTCGCGGCCCTGCGGGCGAGCGCCGCGCGCGCGAACGCGTCCGTCGCCGTCCTCGGCCTCGGCGAGGCCTACGCGGGGCACGAGGCCAAGCTCAGGCTCTACCGCGCGTTCGTCGCCAAAACGGCCGCGGCGGAGCCGCGGCGCCTCGTGCTCCTCGTCGACGGCTACGACGTCGTCCTCTGGCCCGCGCTCGGCGACCTCGAGCGCCGGCTCGCCGCGTCGGGCGCGGACGTGCTGCTCGGCCGCGACGCCGCGTGCTACCCCGACGTCGCGCTCGACGCGCTCTACGAGACCCGCGACTTCGCGAACAGCGGCACGATCGCCGGCGCCGCGGCGGCCGTCCTCGCGGTGCTCGACGCGGTTTTCGCCTACGGCGCGCCGACGACCTGCGGGCCCGACGACCAGCGCGCGTTCCACCGCGCGCTCCTCGAGGGCGTGCCCGGCGTCGCGCTCGCCGTCGACGCGGCGGGCGCGGTCTTCCACACGCTCCACGGCGAGGTGCGGGACCTCGCCGTCGACGCCGCGGGCCAGCTCGTCGTCGCGGGCGCGGCGGGCGACGCCGCGCGGCCTGTCGCGAGCCACGGCAACGCGGGCGACGGCAAGGCGATCCTCGGCCGCGTCGCCGCGGCCGCGGCGGGCCCGCTGCCCGCGGCCGTCGAGCCCGCGCACTTCACGCGCGGCATCGCGCTCTTCGCCGCGGGCCGCGCGCGCGACGCCGCCGCCGCGTTCCGCGCGCACGTCGCCGGCCCCGGGTGCGCCGCGGACCACGCCGCGGACGCGTACTACAACCTCGGCGTCGCGCTCGGCGGCGACCTCGGCGCCTACGAGGCGGCCCTGGGCTGCGACGACGCCCACGCGCTCGCCGCGCAGAACGCGGGCGTCGCGGCCCTCGCAGCGGGCGACGCGGCGCGCGCCGTCGCCTTCTTCGAGCGCGCGGCCGCCGCGGACCCGGCCGGCGAGGACCACGCGGCGAACCTCGCGGCCGCGCGGCGGCGGCTGCCGGGCGGCGCGGACGCGGGCGCGCCCCTCGGCGCGGTCCGCACGCGCGAGCTCAGCGTCGTCTAGGCTAGAACTTTACGACGTCCGCGGCCGCGTAGCCGAGGTCCCGCAAGACGCCGGTCACCTCCGGGTCGCCGCGCGGGCCGCAGAGCGAGTCGTAGACCGACGGCAGCCCGCAGACGAAGGTCAGCGTTTCCGGCGACGGCGCGAACGCGTGCTTCTCGATGCACGCGCGGCCGACCCAGCCGACCTCGCGCGCCTGGCTCGGCGACGTCGGCAGGTCCCGGAAGCCCTCGGGCTCCGGCGGCGCCGCGAGCGCGTCGGCCGTCGTCGAGAAGCCGTCGCGTTTCACGCGCGTCTTCATCCCGCAATGTACGTTCGCCCAGCGGCTGCCGACGGCGTAGACGACCTTGAGGCGGTCCGCGTGGGTCACGGCCCAGGCGTCGAGCGTCCCGCGGAGCAGAATGTCCTCGCAACTGCGGTTCCCGACGCGCGTCGCCGGGCGTGTGTAAAATCCTGTCGAGCGCCTGGACCATCGGCGCGATGCCGGCGCCGACGGCGATCATGTTGACGCGCGCCGCGTCGAAGGGATAGGGCACCTTCACGTTCTCCGCGACGTGCTTGAACTCGACCGCGTCGCCGACCTCGCGCTTGTGGACGAACGTCGACACGGCGCCCTCGGGACGGTAGGAGCGGCGGAACGCGTAGCTGTCGAAGGCGCCCACGGGCTTGACGCCCCACCTGCGCGAGCGAGACGGATGCAGAAGGGCGATGATCGCGACGCGGTCGCGCGCTCCGCGTAGTACTTCACGAGCAGCGTGAAGGTGCCCGCGGCTTCGGAGATCGGGGTGTACGGGCGCACGGCGTCGCCGCCGCCGTGCTCGCAGCCCGGCGCCCGGAGCAGCAGGCAGCCGCAGACCGGCAGCTTCAAGTCCGCGCCGTCGGGCGTTGCAAAGACGAATTTGCGCACGTCGTGGTTATAAATGTCGATGCGGACGAGCTCGCACTTCGTCCAGGTCGTGGGCAGCGCGCACGAGCTCGCGTAGGTGAGGTCGGAGCCCTCTCCGTCGCAGCGCGACTCGTCGCCATGTGCTGCGCCCACGCCGAGGGCAACTGCAGCGCGCGCGACGGCGAGCGTGCGCCGCAATGGTGCGAAAAATGTCATGCTGCCCCGGGTAGACGAGAGTGCCGCCGAGCACGCCTCGACGCTGCCGCAAACTTCCCGCAAACTTGCGGGCTGCCCCTCGGTGCTCGATGCGGTGGCTCTCGCGCGCATTTGTCGTCGTCGGTCTCGCCGTCGCGGCCCAGGGCGCCCTCGTCAACGTCATGGACGGCGCGCCCGACGGAGACGGCGCGGAGAAGGCCTGGGAGAAGCTGGTCGGCCGCCCCGTCGACGAGGCCGTGAGGGCCATCGAGGCGGACGCGCCCAAGCTCGGCATCGAAAACGTAGTGGCTATCTCCGCCGACTCGATGGTCACGATGGACTTTCGCATGGATCGCGTGCGCGTCTTCCACGACGCGAGCGGCACCGTCGTCCGCGCGCCGAAGACGGGGTAGGCGCGCGGCGCGCGCGCAACTTACGCCCCGCGCGGCGGCGCGACGGCGTGGCGGCGAAAATGCGCCCGAGGTTTAAAAAACGGCGCGCGCTCAGAGCGCGAGGAGGTCCGGCGCGAGGAGCCCGCGGGCGACGGCGTCCTTCCAGAGCGCGGCGGGGACGGTGTTGGCCTCGGCGATGATGTCGACGGTCTCGTCGACGAAGGCCGTGGAGGCGAGGCCGAGGGCGACCTTGGAGACCGCCGCCGGGAGGAAGGCGAACTTGAGCGCCGCGGCCTTGAGGGAGACGCCGTGGTCCGCGGCGAGCGCGGCCCAGGCGTCGCGCCGGGCGACGTGGGCCGGCGTCGCGGGCTTGTACTCGTAGTTGGGCCCGCCGGCGAGGAGGCCCGACGCGTAGGCGCCGGCGACCTCGACGCGGACGCCGCGCGCCGCGCACGCGGCGAGCACCGGCGCGCCCGTCTGGTCGAGGAGGTGCCAGCGGCCCGCGAGCATGACGGAGTCGAGGGCCGGCGGCCCGCCGGCGCCGTCGCCGCGCGCCGGGTTCGTCGCGTCGAGGATGCGGAGCGCGACGGCCGCGTCGTTGAGGCCGACGGACAGCTCGAGCGGCGGCGGCGCCGCGGCGCCGGCGTCGCCCCGGCGCTTCTTCGCGCCCGGCGTCTCGGCGCCGGCCGGCGCGGGTCGCTTGGTCGCCGCGGCGCGGACCGCCGCGAGGCCCGGCAGCGACCCCGCGAGCGCCGCGGCCTCGAGCGCCGGCGACTCCGGGTCGTGGCACCGGAGGCCCGCGACGACGACGCCCGGGCCGAGGCGGCCCAGGGACTGGGCGTAGCTTTTCGCCGCGCCGGCGGCGCTGTAGTCGAGGACGGGCACGGCGTCCTCGGGCGAGTCGCTGTGTGGCATTCAACCAGTGTTTTGGGCGGTCCCGACCAAACTTGAGAATTCTCGAGCTCGATCGAATCGACGTCGATTCGGCTGAGCTTTGGACGAATCGATGGCTCTCGTCGAGTGCTCGAAGCACGGCCGAAGAGCGTGCGTCGACGCTGTCGCATATGCGCACATTGAAGTCGGGTGGAAGATGTGAATGCCACGCAGATCGACTCGCAGGTAGATCGTCGTCGCCGACCCGGGCAGGTTGTCGGCCTCGACGACGTCGCCGGCCGCGACCGTGTCCTTCGTCTTGATGACGCGGCCGACCTTGGTCCAGACGCGCACCTCCTCGTCGAGGATCTTCAGCGCCGCCCGCCGCGTCCGCGTGAGCTTCGCGCAGCCCCGGCGGAGGCCCGCGCCGAGCCGCGACTCGGCGACGCCGAGGCCGTAGTGCGGCGCCGTGTCGAAGTGGCGGAACCCGACCTCGACGCACCGCTCCACGACCTCCTCGGCCTCGTCGTCGCTCAGCTCCTCGACGATGCCGCCCAGGGGCGACGTGCCCACCAAAATGTCGCCGACGGCGAGGTCGGCGGTCTTCAGGGCCAGCGGGCCCGTCGCCGCCGCCGCCGCCGCGCGCGTCTGGCGCGTCGCGGCGACGACGAGGCCGGCGACGACGACGCAGGCGACGGCGACGACGATCGGCAGCGTGTCGACCATGCGTGAACTGGGAGCGGAAGCCTATCCACAGTGAAATCGGCGAGCGCCTTGCCATCAAATTGAAGTCGTCATTGAGTCTCTCGGGGCAGTGCTCCGTCGTGCAGTGTGAAAACCAACCATAGGCGGAGGACCCCCCATAGGAGTATTATTTATTATTCTGAGGCGGGAGGCGTTACTACTCTGTACGTAGACCGCGCGCGCGCGTGGTCCGGTGAACCTCAATTTCGTTCGACCCTCGGCAAAATCGGTCGAATATATCATACCGAGACAACCACGCCTCGTTAAATTGTCTAATCGCATCGATTCCGACGCGTTTCAGGCGCGGGTCGCGGGTTCGGGCCGGGGAAACGTAGAGAGTCAACTTCAACATTGCACTGATCGTGCAAACTTTTTGACCCAGGACTATTAGGATTTTATTTTGGTTTTCACACTGCCGTCGTGTCTGGCTGCGGGGTCGGCGCGGACCGAGCTGAGCCGGCATCCACGAGGGCCCCACCGACCCTGGGCACCGCGAGCCGCTAGGCGCCAAATTACGCACGGCGGTTTTTCCGCGAGCCGTCGCCACGGCCTTTTTTGCGCATGTTTTACGCGTTTTTACGCGCGTTTATGACACGAATGTCCTTACTTCCACTGCGGCGGCGGCCCGCTTCGAACCGTATCTTCCCAAACAGGAAGCCGATCTTTGGCGGTGATAAAGTTGACTGAGCGGCCGCAGCCCTGAATTGTACCGGGATTCACGTTATTTCATCGCTGCGCGATGTCGCTGGCGCCGTCCAATGTTGGTCTACGTTCCCAGAGACGCACCCGGTGTTTGGAAAAGATGATGATCACGAGCCATTGGTGCATGAAAGTCGCACATCTAAGATATGGACAGCCAGATCACTGCTGCTCAGGACCTGTATTTCAGATTTATTGGGCAAAACGCAGCCCGGCTGCTGCAATTCTGCGGTGTTACTGGGGGTTGATGGAGAAATATGGGACATCATCAAGGCTGCATTAACACACCAGTCCATAACATCTGACCTGGAGAAGGTGTCCACCAGGAGAGGCTATCAGCCAGATACCTCCGCTTTAGCAATGCACAGATTCCACCGGCACTTCACCTACCAGGGTTTTTTGGCCAAGACCACGCCAGCATTTGTGCATGTTGGCAAGTTCCTGGGCCACTACTGGAATCTCTTTCAGTCAAAGACCCAGCAAAAACAAGCAGCTACGATATGTGAAAGGTCCCACGTCTATGCAGATTGCGAGGAGGTCCGTGCTATAGTGGAGATGCCACTCCCAGGTGAGGATGTGCAAGAAGCAGAAGAAGAGCATATGAAGGATCTCTGTAACCAGTATGGAATTGCGTACGACGACGGTGTGAAGAGGAGACGAGTGCCCCCCGTTCCCAGTCTATCCATCAAATATGATGCTGATGCCAGACAGTTGCACGTTGCTGTCTGCTGGAAAGCTGGGGTCTTTTCTGATGTGAGGGCGCTTGTGGAGCAGACAGTACCAGGCCGGCAAGTTGCCGCGCTCCGGCCGAAGCCTCCCAAGATCCGCCAGCCAAGGCAATCTTTCTGGCCTGCATCGCTCGCTCTCGGGCATGAAATGAATGTTTGGTTTTGTTGCCTGCCCACGTATCGGATAAACTGTTGGAACTGGACCTCACAGGCTCGCTTAATGCCATAGGCTGCCGCGATCCCTTCCGCGCCACCACCGCCGTCAGGATGGACCACCACCTTTCCGATGAAAGCAGAAATCAGTCGATCCCAAGGATTGCGCACGGTGGTTAGCGCGACGAACGGCCTGCTGCACAGGAACTTTCGATCGCTCGCGCTGATTGGCGATGACAGATGTCTGTCCACCGCGAACGAGGATCGATGCGAGTGCGACGTCGTATTTGCCAAGAAATGCTGCTGAATCATTGAGTCGATCGTTGTCGAGCCAGCCTTGGCGGTCGGGCAAAAAAAGAGCGAGGGTCCCCATGGTGACGGACGAGTGACTCTCAAGTCAGGTACGTTCAAGAAGCGACGACAGAGATCCGGACGCGCCTCTTGGGCACCTTCGAAAGCAAATGCCACTGCGAGTACCCACAAAGGCTTGATATAAATTCCAGAAGCAGCCGATCCCGTGGCGCTGAGGAGGAGAGCGATGATGGTCTTCATGTTCTTCATGTTTGGCCTGCGCGAAAGCGCCGTCGGCGAAGCGCTCGAGACGGTCGACGTCGTCGCCGATATCGCGAGTGCGCGCGCCCGTCGCTTTCGGGGGGGGTCCCAGGCGCGCGCGCGCCGCTGCAGGTATGTAAGCCGCGTTTTGGCGGGTACGCGTGGGCGGGCGCGCGTCAGGGGGCTTTTGCGCACGATTCTGCGACCTCAACGGCGTCTTCGGGCGCCCTCGATGCGCTCAACGCCTTCGGCGCCACCCCCCGAGGCGCGCGTCGGGCGATGGACTCTGAGGGGGGCGGGCAACGCGATCCAACCCCTAAAACGGCGCGAGAGCGCGCGCAAACGCGGCGCCGGCGCGCGCGAGACGGCGAGCAGTATGACTTTGTGCATGTGCACAGTAAAGCAGATCGGAGTTAATTTTGACCCCTCGAGCTATGGGAGCTATTGGCACGTTTTTTTTGACTTTTTTTTTTCGATGCTCCTACGCGCCCCGGCGGACCCCCGGGGCACCAGGGGGTGGGGAAGGGCGCTGCGACGCGGCGGGTTGTCGAGGAACTCGCTTTAGCGCGCGTGCGACGGCCGCGTGTCGCGCCCGCGCGGGACCGCGCGGCGCATTACGACGGTCGGCGCGCGTTCGCCCCCCCCCCGCGCTCGCGCACGCCCCGGGCGGGTCCCCGGGGACCCCCTGGACCCTCCGCGGCTCGCGGCGCAAAAAAAAAAAAGTGACCATAGCTCGGGGGGTCAAAATTAACCCCGGGTTGCTTTATGTCAGCGAGTGTAGCGCCACGTTTCTAGTGGTGGTTTTCGCCGCGCCGCGTTTTTTGCGCGTGTTTTGGTACCTCACAGTACCTGGGCGAAGTTCGAAGATTCGAAGTACCGAGCGAGACGCTTACTGGCGGATACGCCTACTACTCGGCCGCGCCGCCCTTGGCGAGGTACTCGGCGTACTCGCGCTCGTAGCGGACCTTGTCGAGCTCGGAGCGGCGCTCCATCTCGCGGCGCTCCTCCGGCGGCGCCTTCTCGAACATGGCCGTGAGGATCTGCTTGAGCTGGGCCTCGGGCGCGCCCGGGTGCTTCTTGCGGAGCTCGCGGACGTGGTTGCGCATGAAGCAGCGCAGCGCGCTCCGCGGCTTCTTCGGCGCCTCGCCCGGGCCCGGCGCGGCCGCGGCGGCCGGGTGCTCCGGCTCGCTCCGCGGCGACGCGCTCGCGGGCGGCGGCGGCGGCGCGGGCGGCGGCGCGGGCGCGGCGGGCGGCGGGGCCGCGGGCGCGGCGGGCGCGGCGGGCGCCGGCGGCGCGGGCGGCGGCGCGGGCGGCGGCGCCGCGCGGCGCGCTTGAGCAGGTCGTCCTGCGCGCGGCGCTGCGCGGCGACCTCCGCGGACGCGTCGCCGGCGGGCTTGAAGGGCCGCTTCCGCGGCGGCGCGTGCGGCGCGTCCGGCGCCAGGGGCCGCTTCTCCGGCGGCGGCGCCGCGGCGACCTCCGGCCGGCGCGGCGGCGGCGGCGCGGCGGCCGCCGCGCGCGCGGCGCCCTTGGCGAGCGCGCGCTGCTCCGCGGACTTGGCGAGCTTCTGGGCCTTGAGCTCGTTGCGCAGGTCCGCCTGCTTCTTGTGGTCGTCGGCCATCTTCTCGAACATGCGCGCGACGCGCTCGGGCTGGCTCAGCGGCTTTCCGGTCTCCGGGTCGCGCGGCGCGCCCTGGCGCGCGGCCGCGAGGGCGTTGACGGCGGCGACGTAGGCCTCGTGGCGCCGCTCGAGCTCGGCGTACTCCTTCTCCGCCGCGCGCATGAGCGCCTCGCAGCGCTTGCCCACGGCCTCCGCGTCGAGCGACCGGAGGAACCAGTCGAACTGGAACTCGGGCCGCGACCGAAAGTCCGCGCGGATGCGGCGCCAGTTGCCGTAGCCGTGCTCGCAGACCAGCTGCAAGAGCACGCGCTCCTCGTCGGCGCGGCTCGGCAGGCCCGGGAACTGGGGCAGGCCCGCGGCCGTCGACGCGAAGCGGAACTGGAGGTCCGAGGGGTCGCGCGCAAACCTGGGCAGGACAAGATAGATTCAACGTCGCTTCAACGTGAGTGTTCCGCGCGCGCGCGCCCCGGAAAAAGCATCCACGCTTCGAGACCGTTCCAAGAGATGATCGCTCGTCCAAAAATCAGCCAAAACGAGTGGAAAACGGCCGAGATATGAGGCTTTGAAGTTTGGAATTTCGCTCTCTTGTCCTGCCCCGGCGCGAACAGCTCGACGAACTTCCGCGTCGCGGCCATGAGCCCGTCCATCTCCTCGAGCTTCTTCTCGCCCTTCTCCACGGCGCGCGAGATGCGGTCCCAGTCCGACGGCGCGAAGACGGACGCGCCCCGCTTCCAGAAGACGGCCGCGTAGCGCGCGACCTCGGCCGCGGACTTGCCTGCGCGGAGTTCACATCTTCGACCCGACTTCAATGTGCGCATATGCGGCCGTTTCGACGCGAGCTCTTCGGCTCTGCTTCGAGAACTCGACGAGAGTGATCGATTCGTCCAAAAATCAGCCGAATCGACGTCGATGTGACCGAGCTCGAGAATTCCGAAGTTCGGTCGGGACCGCCCAATCCGGCGGTCGAACGCCACGCGGGGACTTGCCGTACAGATCCGCCGCGATGCGGTCGTAGGCGTCGCGGCCGTGGCGCGCCGACGCGCGGAGGAAGAGCGTGTAGTGCTGCTTCGTCCACGTCGTGAAGCCCCGGGTCATGAGCGTCTCCTTCTCCTTCTGGTCCTTCGCGTCGAGCAGCTGCAGGCCGCCGCGGAGCGCCGCGTGGTCCGCGGCGAGCGCGGCCTTCTTCTCCGGCGTCGACTGGAGGTCGGCGAAGCGCGCCTCCTCGACGGCGTGGAGCTGGTAGAGCCGCTCGCGGCCCTCGAAGAACTGGAAGTCGTCCATCTTCGGTAAGCGCAGGTGCGCGGGCATGCGCAGCAACGTCTCCTTCTCCTCCTCCTCGTCCTTCCCCTCGCCGCGCGCCTTCTTGCGCTTGGGGTGCAGGTCCAGGTGCTCCGAGATCATCTTGTCCGTCGCGTAGATCGAGTCCTGCGCGGGCCGCTTCCGCTCGCGCTTGCCCGTGTCGACCAAAAAGACGGAGCCCTTGCCCGGGTTCGCGTCGAGGCCGCGCTTCTTCTGGTCCTGGACGGCGGCGTAGTCGACGCCCTCCCACTGCTGCGTCGCCATGCCGCCGTCGAGCTTGAAGTCGAGCATGTCGCCCTTCTCCGACGCCTCGAGCCGCGCCTCCAGGTCCGCGGTCCGCGTCCGCCCCCGCGCGATGATCGCGTCGATGTCCAGGTCGCTGAGCTCGCTCGCGTCGCCGCCGCCGCGGAAGACCTTGTCCGCGCCGAAGCGCACGGCGTGGAGCAGCTCGTCGGTCTGGAGCTTGCGCTCGTATGGAGCCGGCCCTGCTGCACGACGACGGCGTCCAATTTCAGCTTCTGCTGCGCGCGCTCGACGACCTTCTCCTCGACGCTGTGCTCCGTGACGAGGCGGTAGACGTGGACGGGCTTCGTCTGGCCGATGCGGTGGCAGCGGTCCATGGCCTGGAGGTCCGCCTGCGGGTTCCAGTCGCTGTCGTAGAGCACGCACGTGTCCGCGGTCTGGAGGTTGATGCCGAGGCCGCCCGCGCGCGTCGACAGGAGGAAGGCGAACTTCTCCGAGTTCGGGGCGTTGTAGGCGTCGATGTACTCCTCGCGGAGCTCGTGGGCCGTCTTGCCGTCGATGCGGCAGTAGTCGTACGCGCGCATGACCATGAAGTCCTCCAGGATGTCGAGCATGCGCGTCATCTGGCTGAAGATGAGCACGCGGTGGCCCTTGTCCTTGAGCCGCGTCAACAGCTTGTCCAGCAGCACGAGCTTGCCGCAGGCGCCGACCAAATGCTCCCCCAGCACGGGCAGCGACCGGTCCTCGACGTTCGGGAACAAATAGGGGTGGTTGCAGCACTTGCGGAGCTGCATGACCAAGTTCAGCACGGCCGTGCGGCCGCCGCCCTTGCCCGACCCGCCCTGGACGACGTCGATCTCGCGCAGCAGGCACTGCTTGTAGACGTCGCGCTGCGTCGCCGTCATGGAAGTGAAGAGGATCGTCTCGCTCTTCGGCGGCAGCGACTTCTCGACGTCGGCCTTGAGGCGGCGGAGCACGAAGGGCCGCAGGAGCTTGTGGAGCTGGCCGATCAGCCGCTGCTTCGCGTCCGCGTCGTCGATCTGGAGGTCGAAGAGGTCGTCGAAGCGCTCCGCGGACTGGAAGACGTCGGGCAGCAGGAAGTTGAGCAGCGCCCAGAGCTCGTGCAGGTTGTTCTGGAGGGGCGTGCCCGTGATGAGGAGCCGGTTCTCCGTCCTCAGGAGCCGCACGGTCTTGGAGAGCTGCGCGTTCTCGTTCTTGATGCGGTGCGCCTCGTCGATGATGACGAAGCGCCACGCGATCTTCGCGAGCGCCGTCTTCTCGAGGTTCGCGACCTCGTAGGTCGTCACGACGACGTCCCAGGCGCGGGGCTCGGACACGAGGATGCCCGACGTCATGTAGCCGCGCTCCTCCTTGGACCCGTGGAACTTGAACGCCGTGAGCGCCGGCAGCCACCGCCGGAACTCGTTCATCCAGTTCGAGAGCGTCGTCTTGGGCACGAGCACGAGGTGGGGGCCGTTGATGCGCTTGAACTCGTGGAGGTAGCCGAGCATGGAGATGCTCTGGAGCGTCTTGCCGAGGCCCATCTCGTCCGCCAGGATGCCGTTGAGCCCGTTGTTCCGGAGCCGGATCATCCAGTTGAGGCCTAAAGGAAACAGCGACGGTTTGTTTTTTCGCCGGCGGCGCGCATCGGGGACGCGGCGCGACGCGCCGGCGAGCTGGTAGGGCCGCATGGCGCCCGTGATGCACGCGGGCTGGACCTGGAGGAAGTCGGGCGGCGCGTCGTCGTCGTCGACGACGCGCTCGTCCTCGTGGGGCTTGCTCTTCGAGCCGGAGCTCCGGCGGCTGCCGGCCTTGCCCGCGGCCGGCGCCTCGGCGACGGGCTCGTCGTCGCCCTTGTCGAAGAAGCCGTCCTTGAAGAACTCGTAGAGGCCCGACTGGCGGAGCAGGTACTTGAACCTGCGCGCGGCGCGCGGGGGGGTCGCGGGCCGCGGCGCCTATGCGCCGCGCGCCCGGCGCGGCGCGGCGGGGCGGGGCGCGCGCGCGGTAAGGCGCGGGCGGCGGCGAAGCGGCGCGGACGACGCGCCGCGCGCCTCGCGGACGCGGGACGCGCGCCGGCGGGCCGCGGCCTTGGTGTTCGCGACGCGGAGCGCCTCGTGGGTGAGCTCCGAGGCGCTCATGGCGGCGCGCGGCGCGAAGCGGGCGCGGGCGCCCGGACTCGCAGCGGCGCGGGAGCGGAGAAACTAGAGGCGGCCGTAAGCGAAGCGATCGAGGGCCATCACTCACAGACCGGGATTGTTGAGGTTTCGATGATGATGCCGCGG